CTTTCCGAAAGAAGTATATACAACTTTGTCTTTGTCACTTTCCTTTCGCTGGGACAAAATGTCTGACACCCACAGTTTCAGGAAGGAGAGGTTTATGTTGGCTCACACTTGCCTGGGTTCAGTTCATGGTTGGCCGGCTTCTAGGCAGAGCCAGCACATCAGAACAGCGTGGTGGGGGAAGCCTGTGCACCACGTGGCAGCCGGGAAACAGAGGAGGAGAGAGGAGCCAGGGAAAGCAGGCCTTTCCGGGTCATGATAATTATTGTTTTATTGCCCGCATGGACCCGCCTTACCTGTTGTTCTCCCCGTGGTGAATGTCGTCTCTTCCTGTTGCACATGAGCAGTTACTCTGCTCTGTCACTTATTCAGGAACACACAACTGCTGATTCCTTCTATTTTCCAAGGTTCTCCTCTTCACAGTCCTCCCATAACAAAGAACAATGCCATCCACCCATCTGTTCTCCTCCCATAACAAAGAATAGTGCTTTTCACCCATCTGCTCTAGCCCAACAGCTCAATACCCTTGGGTATTTGGCTTTTCTTTCATCCATGGCTATTCCCAGTGAAGCCATGAGTAAGTCCTGTTGCTCCTGTCTTTTCTTCTCTCTCCATCTTCATTGTAACCCCACCCCCAACTGGTTTCTTTCTTGGTGCTCCTCTTCCTACTATGCTTTGCCTCCCATGGCTCTGTAGCAGCCAACATGTTCTTTTAAAAGCATAAGGTACAGGGGCTGGGGAGATAGCTCTGTGGTCTAAGCACCTTCCTGGCAAGTGCAAGGACCCCAGTTCAATCCCTGGTACCGCAGGTTATGCCAGCCCTGGGACCCTGCTCATGCTATGCCTGCCAGCCGCCAAAACTAGGAGTGGTGGTGCACACCTGTAATCCCAGCTCTGGGGAGGCTGAGGCAGGAGGGTTACTATGAATCTGAGCTGCGTAGCGAGACTGGTACAAAATAAATAAATAAAACATAAGGTACAATGACATTTAAAACCCTCCAGTGTTTACTGTTGTACTTAGAATAAAACCTCATTTCTTCCATGGCATATGACACCTTTATCTGTGGTAATTAATCCTGGCCAGTGTTCGCTTCACAGAGGGAACTTATGTTTGTTTGTTTTTTTTTCCCCCCTTTGGTAGTATTGGAGAATGAACCCAGGGCCATCACACTGAGCTATATCCCCATATTTAAAAAATATATTTTAAAAAAAATTTACTTTGAGATAAGAATCAAGAATCTGAATAAATTGCTAAGGAGAACTTCCTTGATTAGATTTTACAGGAAGTGCCACCATGCCTGGCCACCAGTGGAACTCTGGAGACACTCTGAGCCCAAGTGCAGTTAAATCACAGTGTCTGGGGATGCGGCTCTGGCATCAGAGCTTTTAACAGCACCCTGGCATGTTTGATGAACATCCAGCCTCCAGAGCTACAGCTTCCTCTCACACGGCCTCTGGGTCATCTCTGGGCTTCTGTCTCGTCACAGAGTTTGTGTCCTCAAGCTTACTCTTGCCTTACAGCTTTCTTCTTGGCTCTGTTTCTCTTGCCCCACACATTTTCCTGCCTGGTCCCTTTTAGCTTCTCAGAGTGAGCTTTGTTTGATCACCTCAGCCAAGGAAGTGTTCCGTGTTACCAGCCATTCTCTGCTGTCCTTGAACATTTTCTCCACTTCATACCACATTGTCTCAGATTGCTTCATGCTTGTATTTTATTTTATTTTTTTTAGTTGATTTTGTGGCCAGCTCAGCCCCTGGGGTCAAGGCTGGCATGGCCTGTGGTGCCAGAGATCAAACCATGGTCCCTGCACTTGGCTGTGTTTGCCTAAGCAGGTGCTCTAGGTTGCTGAGCTATCTTGCCGGCCCCATGCTTGTGTTTTTGACATGAAAGTGCAGTCTACGTGGTACTGCTCAGTCTCCTGTGTACTGGGGTGCCTAGAATAGCGCCTAATAAGTATTTATTAAATGATTGCACTTGAAGGAGAAGAGCCACAGAAGGGCATTTGTTTGGCAAGCCAGAAGGTGTGCAGCAGCTGGGAAACACTTCCACAGGGGCTTGTAGGGAACTAAATAAAGTAAGTAACTTTCGCAGTGAAGTTAGGAGTTCTGATATTTTTTAAATGGAGAAGAAACATTTTTATTTTAAAGGAAAACAGTTCAAGGAAAACAGAAGTGACTTGTTATCTTACTGGAAGAGCAACCTTAGTACAGAGTGACTTTTGGTATCTGCCGTGGCTGCTGTAAACTTAGCTTTTGAGCGGGGCTCGTGGTGCATGCTGATAGTCCCAGGCTTCTGCGAAGCTGAGGCCAGAGGATAACAAGTTCAAGCCCAGACTGTGAACTCTGTCACTTGGAAAAATCCTCTCACTCTCTCAAAAATAAGTAAATAAATAAAAGAAAAGAAAAAAAAATAACATTTTTGTGACTGGCATGCATTTAAAGGAACAGAAGAGTAGCCCTTTAGATTCGCTACCCCAAACCATTCCTTTCATTTTAATAATGTGATAATTTAACTTAAGAAAGCATCTTCGGTTCCTCCGCTGGCTTCACACTGCCCATTCATTAAAGCTTCGGATTCATACTCTCTCTGCTACCTCTTTGCCTTGTGATGCTTTTTGAAGCCCAATTATATACTGTATTTAATTATGACTAAGTACTTGGGATTATTTGGAAGGTGGTATTTTTTGCTTTATGTGTCAACCCATGTTGTAATGCAAAAATAGCTAGCGCATCAGGAACCATGTTCAGATCCCTTATAGTTGTTCGCAGTTGAGTGTATGGAATTCAACAGCAAGGATATGATGGAAACCAGGTACAGACCGTGTTCTTTTATTACACGATGCCAAGGAAAATGAGTGTTCATTTCTGCAAATCCAGCATGATAATTTTGTGCTTCCTGATAGCAGTTATATGTACATAGTTCTAGAGAAACACTAGAAGTTAGAAGCAAAGTTTTTCAAAGATGACAGGTTTAGGAAGCACAGTTCTGTGATGAACGGGTATGCAGAATGCTGTTTACGAAAACACAGATACATTCTTTTCTGAAAGTGGGTCCAAGTCTGTATTGTGACAGCTTGGCTCTCTAGGGCTTGTGAAGATGAGACTTTGCTTGGAAAAGACTAAATGTTGTTTCCTGGCTCAGCCATTGGCTGTGTCCTTGATTCAGAGTGAAGTGGAAGCCAGACACTCATACAGAAACGATTTTCGAGTTGTAGCAAAACCAGGCAAGTACTCACACTCAAGGATGAGTTCAGGTCTTGGCCCTGGGGCAAAATGTTTGACTTGCTGGTCTTCCTGTACTCAAAGTCTTGCACATTGGCATCAGGCCTGGGCAGATTTCTGTTGCTGGGACAAAATGCCTGCCGTGCACAATTCAAAGGGTGCGGGATTTGTTTCCATTTCTGAGATTTCAATCCAGGGTTGGCTGCTCTAAGACAGAAACATAAGGGCAGAAGGGCGTGGAGGAGGAAAACTGCTCAACTGTGGCAGCTGGAAAGCAGAGAGCAGGGAAAGAGCCCACGAGGAAGGGACAGGGACCAGCTACATTCCCCACGGTCACACTGCCTGGAGCCACCGGGAAGTGTGCCTTACCAGTCTCCTAGGTGTCCCTCCAGCCGGTTGACAGTCAGGATTAACCCCCACCAGGTTGGAAACTGGGGGCAGTGTTTCCTGTTCAGATATCTTTTTCCCAACCATGTGCCTTCACGTAGACCAAAATTCCATGGCAAGGTGCCCACTGCTCCCTGCAGAGGAAGCCAAGTTACCTAAATGTTTGGGAGCCACTAATAACTTAAATTTTGTGAAAATATTGAAAGTGTGTCCATAGAAGGTAAATCCAATCTACTTTATAGCATGTACAACATAAAGCATGTAACTATTTTCTGGTTCATTAAATATAGAATAGACTAAGAAAGCTTATTGGCAGATGCCTACAGTCCTAATTAGTTTTGCATTTAGTCACTGTATGTAGCTGTCTTATGTGTGTGTGCTACTTACAAGATGATTTTTCTGGGCAAGATGACCACAATAATACCTTAGTTGAGGTGGTACAGGGGTGAGGAGCAGTACCTCACTAATGTACCCACACTGGGTTTTCAGTAAATGTTTAATGTAAAATACTTGTATATGTACACATTGTTCTATAGTACTTCCTTTACAAGATAGGGAGTGAAAAATTATCTGTAGGTTGTATGTGTCTTTATTGGATTTGTAAAAAGAAGTTAAAGTCTTTACCTAAAGCCTCAACAAACCATTTCATAGACTATTTTTATTGGTTTAAAATCTTTTTCATGCTTGTAGCATTCTATTCCGGGTGTTTCATTGTGTGTTTGAATATTTCAAGTGCAAATATTTTATAGATTAGTTTTGCTACTCCAACTTAAAATTATTCCCCAACAGTGGCTTTTATCCTGGGAATAAGCAAGAATGAGAGACAACAGATAAAAATTATCTTAAAATATCTACTTTAATAATATAAGTTGACCTATAGAATGTAGATATGCACTAAAAGTTCATGTTCATTTGTGCAGAAAAAGAAAAAACATCTATTGAAAGATTACCGATTTGAGAGTGCTGGAACTTGGACTTGGTCTGGTTCACTGTTTCTCTGAGGCAACAGAAATGAAGAACAGACCTCACTTACTTGGTTCCAAGCGAATTCTAAATCTTGCTAATCTGAACAACTCAGTTGAAGATAACAGTATGCAATATACCAACCACTGTTGAGTTCCTATCAACTTGTTTAGTGCAATTTTGTATCGTATCTAATGTTTCTTTAAATTTTTCTATTTTTTATTCTCTTTAAGAATTAAAAATATCTAACAAAAATAGATGTTAAGACAATACAGCTGTAACATAGACCAGAAACTTCATTGTGGAGCAAATTGTGCATATTCTGTTGTCTCTTAGGTTCCATCTCAGTGTTGCTAACAGAACATGGGGACATATATTGCTAATGTATTATTCCAGGAAACATAACATCTTTGTGTTCTCTTCTGCCCTGGCAGGTTGGTACAGAGGATATTCCCTCCAGAATAAATCCAAAAAGGTACGTCTTATCATTTAATTTTCCAGTTCATTCAGATTCTACTCTCCTAGTTTTGTGACAGGCAGTCCTATCCCCTATCTGTTCTTGCTAGATCTAGTCTGGTTGGTTTTGTTTTGTGTATTTATTTATTTATTTTGATGACATTGCTTGTTCCTTGCAAAGTAATTCTCTGACTTCCATACCTTAGGATAATAGTGCAAATACCATTCAGTCTGTTTCCCAGGGCAAGAAGGTGGTGCTGGCCCACTGCCCCTCCCTGTCCTGAAGCTGAGCTAGATGGTCATGCAGTAGCGGGCCTCTAAGTAACCTCTCTCCAGGAAGGGAAGCACCCGCTTTTCCCTTATCCTTTGTGGCAGTGCTGAAACCCCAGAGCTTAAGCTTCTCCCTGTCACCATGTAATTCTTTCCTGCATTGTCAAGTAGAGAAACATAGGCGGCGTTTCCAAACTGAGCCTGTAACCTCTCTGTACATCACAAAGTCGAAACTGCAAAATAGAGAAGATTGTGCATTGCTGTGGGAACTACTGTTTTTGAGACAAAACTTTATGTTAGATACATATTTTCATGTATCTTACGCATTTTTATTTTGTGTATTTGATGTATAATTCGGGTCTGTGATAAAAATGATTAGTCATTCTGGGTAGAGTTTGAAAAATACTGACCTAGATGGTTCCTTTCCCCAGTGTCAAAGCTACTGAACATCAAGCTAAAAAAAAAAAAATCCATTAGTTATGTTAATACCCATCTCGGTTTATTTGATTTCTGTCAGCACTTCGCCTTTGAATGTGCTTGCCAGGGCAACAGAACATGTCAGCGCTTTCTTTTGAAAGAGCTGAGCTGATAAGCTCTTACTATTTCACAGTTAGTTCACATGCCAGACAGAGAAGAGGTGCGAGACACAGTTTCTCATCTATCGAGAAGGGAGAGAAAAAGGAAAGCCCTGTGCCTCTTTCTCTTCAGATGCAGTATGAGCTAGGTTGTCCAGTGCAGGTAGGCTGATGTTGAGTGCCCCCACAAGAGCATGGGACCCCCAAACACCTTCCTAGAAGGCAGAGCTTATAAAAAACTGAGTGGAGTTGTTGATCACTGGATCACGCTCATTATTTGCACACGTGTGTGTACGTGCGTCTTGTGTTTGCTTTGACAATTCAATAATCCTGTAGAACTAGGGAGTCTTTGCTGCTCAGTTTGGGTCCCTCTACCCTTCTGTAAGCCCTGGTGCTGCCGTTTTCTACCCACTGTCGGGCCCTTTTGCACATGTCATTTCCAAATGAATTATTTCCACTTATTTCCTGCTGACTTCAGTCTGTCTGAGCTTTCTAATAATAAGGTGGCAGGTGTACCAGAGCGAGGAGGGCTGCAGTTGAAGCCAAGACCTTGGGCCTGGCACGGCCACTGCTGTGTGGTGTAGGTTCAGCCTGCCTGGTATAATTTTACTCACCAAGAGTTCATGGTTACGATATTCTGAATGTGTTAGAGTAAGAAAACTCAGGTCACTGAATTCCTAATCCTGTTTTTCTAAGTGAATTTTAAACCTCTCAGACAGAATCAGATGAAACACAGAATTCTTGATGTGTGTGTGTGACACACATTCATGAGTGCGTGGTTCTGCAGATTGAACCCAGGGCCCTTGCACAGAGCTGCATCCCAAGCTCTGGGGGGATCCCTTGGTCTCACTGTGATAGGTTCTACCTGGGAAGAAACTGGTAGGAATGAGAAAGACAAGAAGACAAAAGCTGGGCTAGGGGGTCACTGGCCTGCCTGATGGGCAAGACGAACGCACCCTACAACAAAACTTATGTTTATTTATACTTTTGCCAAGTGTGTAACACATGACACAAGGTTGCCTAGCAACTAATAACTGAACAGGATGTTTATCTCAGGAGTGAGATAGCTTGTTTGCTTTAGCACTGAGGCCCTCCACACATTTGATCAATTTCCTACCTTCCTGCAGCTCCCAACAGAGCACCTCATATTTTGAGACTGGGTCTTACTAAGTCTCTAAGTTGCCCAAGCTGGACTCCAACTTGGAGCCTTCTCCTCAGCCTCCCAGTGCGGGTTCACAGGAGTGTACCACCAACGCCAGCTTAGAATTCTTCGTTTTCAACTGGTAAATGTCACAATGTGGAAACAAAGTCCCAGGCCCTAGGGCTTGCTTTTCAGAGTCTGCAATGTGTGAGGAATCTTTCTGGCACAGAAGGCCTTGGTTTCCAGGGGATCCAGTGACTTTCCAATGCGTCCCAGTCCATCTTGCTGGGACCCCGCTCCCTGATGTGAGCAGAAGATGGATGGGGCGCCCCCTAGGGTCCAGAGGAGTGCTCCGTGTGCTCCCAAGTGTTTATACACGTGGAAGGTTCTTAAAACTCTGGTTTAAACTGAAAATTCACCTTTAGAAGAATTATTTCAGCAAGAGCGTGTCTTCATTCTTGATAACCAAAGAACAGCTTCGTAATGCAATGATGTGGGGATACAAACAAGGATCATGCACTGAGGTGTTGATTTTTTTTAAAAATTGAAATGTATGTTTTTCTTGTGGAGCAATCCAAGAAAAACTGGCATGGAATTCAAAACCAATTGTCATGAATTATACTCAACTTGGGACACCCCTTCATTAAGTGATCCAGCCCCTTAGTAATGTTCTCCTTGGGCTAGGGCCATTTTTCTCTGTCTCAGGGGAGGAGCTACCTGAGAGGTCTATTGTTTTAATGGAAATTTTTGATGTCATTTGTAAGTGGTTCTGACCGTTTAGGGTGGTGACAAAAGGAGCTAGTGGCTTTACAAATGGAAGGAACCAAGAGCCCTGCAGACTCAGATCATTGATCTGGGCAGGGTTGTGGGAGTGTGGCCAAGGGTGTCTTCTAGAAAACCATTAGTTCATGTATTAATTTGTTATTTGAGTGAGTAGGTTGAGAATGAACAATAGACTTGAGAAAGGGGCTGTACATCAGATATATATGTAGCCCCAGTTGGCTGTGGCTTGTTGCGTATTGTAGTGTAGGAGGTGTCTACAGGCCCCAGATTTGCACCAGAGCAGTTAAATGACTGAAAGGGACCTCAGGTGCTGCAGGGTTCGTGATGCCTACAGAGGACAGGGTGGGGAATGACAAAACGAGTACCCTGTGCACACAGACATTACCACGTCTATACACCGGTAAACTACCTGCTCGTGATTGGCTTGAGGTGTCTCAAAGCTGTCAGTTTGTATTTCTGAACACTTATATCTTTGATATCTCACACTTAGTAGGAGGACCCAGTGATTGGATTATGAAAACATAACCTAATAATCATAATCAATTTAGTCGTCTTTTTGTTTTCTGACTTGGGGAGTTTCTGCAAGGATCGTCCTTTGGACTCGCTATCTTTTTATTGCTGGTGCTGGCAATGGGCCTCAGGGGCTCTTCCGCTGAGCGTCAACCCAGCTGCAGCAATGTTGTGTCTTCCTTTAATCTTATAACTGCTAATTTAAGCAGTTCGTCCCTACCAGAGCCTCCCTTTTTAAGAGCTCTGGACTTTTTTTTTCTTAATTGTGGTTAAAAAAAGAATTATAAAGTTTGCCTTCTTGGCAGTTGTATATTCACACTGTTGTGTTATCCGTCGCCACCAATCCCTCTCCTGAACGCCTCTACCTTCCCAAACCCACACTCAGCACCACACAGGAGCCCCTCACCCCTCCTTCCAGCCATTCTCTGCCTACTTTATTTTTTGTTCTTTTTCTTTTTTAAAAAATTTTTTCTTTCTTTCTTTCATTTATTTTTATTTTACTTATTTATTTATTTATTGGCTGAACTGGGAATTAAACTCAGGTCCTTGCGCTTGCCAGGCAAGCATTTATTCTACTGAGCCATCTCCCCCGCCCCCTCGCTGCCTGCTTTCTGGTTGTGAGCTGACTGCCCCAGGTGCCTCACTCAGGTCTTTCAGTGACTGGCTTCTTGCACTTAGCGTGATATTCTCAAGATGAGCTCTGGAAGCCAAGTCCGGGTCTCCACAATGGCACTCACTGCATCATTGGCCTCAGCTCGGCAGACAGAAGGAGCATGCCCATTTCCTCTGTATCCTAGAAACGGTTCTGAACCTTCAGGACTCCAGAAATCAGGCACCACATGAATCACACACTACCTTCTCTGAATTTCTATTCATAATTGTTCCATCAGTTTTACAAAATCACTCTGCCTTGAGTACCTGTAATGAAAAACCTCACTTTGTCCACATGTGGGTTATCGGTCTTAGCAATTGTGAGACAGGTAAAATGCTTTCTCACTCATTCTACCGTACTTGCTCTAAAGGGAGAAAGAGAGGCATAGGATTTCTTTTTGGTTTTGTCTCTCTGCTTAGAAAAGGATGGGTCCTTTTGCTTCTGCCTTGAGCATTTGTGGGATTCGCTCTGTCATCAGCACTCCTAATCCCAAACGTTCTTGCTCTTTCCTGTTTTATTGGCAGAGGATAAAAAGAGAAAGTGTGGAGAGTATTGTACAGACAAATATAGCACCAAAACTGGACTCAGAGTTGCCCGTCTCTGAGTGGGCTGCAGATCATCAGGTACACGCAGATCTCAAGCCCCGTCCTCTGGGTGGAGGGATGTGCCCCCACACTCGCGTTAAGTCGCTTCCACAAGTGCTGTCCCTAAAGTCCATGCCTGCTCTTCTGGAAGTAAGGCTAGGAGCGTCTGAGTCAAAGTTCACCTAAACAGGTTCTTCTGCCTCCTCTGGTCTGGCATGTGAGACACGCTACAGCCAAGCGTTTTCTCCAGATAGCGTCTTCTCTCTGGCTTTAATTAAGAGCATGTGACAGACAGCAGAAGCTTTATCAGAAAACCCCCATATGTGGCTCTCTTATTGTGGGAGCTGGTCCTCAGCTCTTTAGTCTGTGTCTTTAGTCAGGGTTTTAGTGTCACTCTCTTAGGTCTTTCTGGGCCTTGGATCCCCTTTTCCCCTTGTGATCAGTGTCACCAGACCAAGGTTGAATTGCTTCTCATGGTGATAGAGGAACAATTTGAGACTCTGAAGTGCTAGAAAGTAATTAGTTAACAAGTTCCATTGATTTGGGTTGTGTGTGGTTTACATGAAAAGTGCTGAAAGAAAAATTACTTGAGAAAATCATGATAATTTTTATGGCTGAGTTCCGTGTAGCTGTATATCTCTGTCATCCCGAGAGGCCCTTTACAAATGGGAAGCCTCTTGGGAGGTGCTGGATCCTCAGGTTCTCTGCTGCTGTAGCTCTGAGCTCACAAGGGGGGTGTCTGTCTCTGTGAAATGCTCCATGCTTTCTGAACCCCAGCGCCCAGCCCCATTTCCCATGTTCCCACTGTGCCTGCACTGACAGCAGTCAGGGTAACTGATGTCCTACAAAACCGGTGGGAGCATTTGCTCTTGTTAAGTCCTGCGGTCGCACTTGCTGCCGTTCATGCTCTTGATTTTGGGCTGGGGTTTTCCGTGGCCATGTAACCAAAACTTCTTCTCTCTGTAGGGCATTTTCCCCGAAACATACATCCATTTGAAAGAGGCCACTGTGGAAGACCGAGGGTAAGTTGCAGTCCAGGAAGCCCCCACACAGCGATGATGTAAGATTTTCATGATACAATGCCTGCTGCCCACCGACACTTCTTTTTTCTCACTGAGTTACTTCTCTTCTGTGAGAAAGAAATAAATAAAAAAACTGTGCTTGATATAATATCTTCCTCTGTCTGCTCTTTTTTATTTTTTATTTTTTTGTCTTTTTGACACAGGGTTTCACTGTGCAGTTCAGGCTGGCCTTGAGCTCACTTTGTAGCCCAGGCTAGTCTTGAACTAGCCTGGATCTTCCTGCCTCAGCCTGCCAGGTGCTGGGATTATAGGCATGTGTCACCATGCAGGGCCTTCTGCCTGTGATTTTTATCCCTGATTCTTCCTAGCGTCCTTCTCCAGAAGAGTAAAGATATCCTCTGTCTCTCTCCTACATTTACTTATGACCTGCTCACTGTGTGTGTGTGTGTGTGTGTGTGTGTGTGTGTGTGTGTATTGTGCTTGTGCGTGTGGATCCATATGTATGTGTGTTTGCACACAGGAATATTTAGAGTTCTTTGACTCAGTCCTGAGCAGCCTGCACTTGGGCTCACCAGCTTGCTTGTCAGCACTGAACTTCAGCCAAGTCACTGAGCCTCACATGCACCCTGAGGCTTTTACTGCACATTGGGGGTCATAAGGAGAAGTAGGACTGGAGCCCCTTGGCTGATAGAGAGGAGAGTGGGGAGGGAGGGGGAAATGGACAGCTGGGTCCTGGTTTTGCAGTGCAAATCTAAACAATCATTCTAGGTCCTAAGCTTGGCGCACACATTTTAAGATGGAAAGTGGAGACCTCCTTCAGTCTACTCACCTCCCTGGAGGCAGGACCAGGACCAAGACCTGGGTCTCATGTCCTCCTGGAGAAGTCTTTTGAGCTGGCCATTGCCAGGCAGCCTCAAGTGTTATCCACCATGTTGGTAGAAGGCAGAGTGAGAGGCGCTTTCTAATAAATAAAGATAGAACTGTAGAATGCCCTGCCACTCAGATACCAAACACAGACACTGCTTGGTGTAGGATGGGGTTGTATCCCAATAAACCCATTCTAAGTTGCAGATATTGTAAGTTAAAAGTACATTTGATACACTGTACTAACCAAATGCCATAGCTTAGCCAGGGTGCAGGCTCATAGAACTCCTTCTCGTTTTTCAGCTACTGACCTGTGTTTAGGTCCTCTATCTGCCTTCCCCACCCCATGGACCAATTTCACTTTCGCAGCCCCATCCCTGCCCCTGAGCATCCAGGAATGTATAGTCAGAATCGCATCTCCACTAGCCCCGTGGCAAGCTGAACGTGTTGCTTCTCCTCACCAGGCAGCATGAGACGGTGATTCCTGGCGAGCTCCCGCTGGTGCAGGAGCTCACATGCACTCTTCGAGAATGGGCGGTCATCTGGCGCAAGCTCTACGTGGTGAGTTGCCCTGGGCTTCTGGCTGGCTGTGGCATAACTGCTGGGCCCTCAGCCTGTGATTCCGCTGCTGAGGGTGTCAGCCCCTCAGCTCTCTCGGTGGCATAAGAAGCAGAGACATACAGGACTGGACCCCACAGTGGGAAGTGGAGGCATGTGGTGTCTGGCAGCCAGCTGCCTGCTTGTCCCCAGCTTTGGGCCACTGATATGCAGTCATGATGGGAAGTGAGTGTAGTCACTGATTCCGTCTTTTCACAACTGAGAAACATGATGGGAAAGGAACCACGGTGGTAATAACAGTCAACACTTAGCTCTTCTTCCTGGGAGCCCTGAAGTATGGGTCCTCACAACGCTTCTGGAAAGTAGTTGCCCCTGGGATTATTAGGGTACCAATAAGGAACAGCGGACTTGCTCTTGACTGTGTGTTCCAGGGGTAGGAGCTGCAGATGTCTCAGTGCTCTGCCTCCTGAGGGTGGCGTTCTCAGCTATGGCCGTTGTATAGGCTCAGGTGCTTGAATGGCACTAAGTCCCTACCAGGGCAGACTTTAGGTGCTCTTTCTCACAACCCGGGCCTGGCCTCAGAATGCCAGTGTGGGGCTGTGGCTTGTGGGAAATTACACAGGTCCTGCCACGTCCTGTCTGGAGTCAACCACAGTCACAAGTTGCGTGTAGGTTTGCAGTGGAACTGCTATAGTAGGGGTGTGGTTTGTCCCCTCTGAAACTCCTATTGCCGTTGAGCCCCCATAGTGAGGCAATAAGTGCAGAAACAGCACCCAATGGGATGTTTAGAGGTGGGGACTTGAGAGGCGATTGGCATTTCATGAGGTTATCAGCCTTCAGGGTTGAGCGCTGTGGCTTTATAAAAAACAGGAGTGAGACCATTGGGGACAGATAGGCGCTGTGCATCTCTCACCTGTGATGCCCTCTACCACCTCAGGATTCTGCGAGCCAGAAGGCCCTCACCCATTATGGCCCCACAACCTTGGATCAGAACCAGGACCAGAATCCAGTGTGTAGGACTATATTATTCTCAGAGGAAAACAAGGACTAGGACAAGGTCCCATAAATCTAGCATTCTCAGACTGAGAACTGCTCTCCCGTGAGTGGCCAAGGAGGCTCTGCATCGCCTGCCACCATGTCTGCTCCATCTCCTGTGTTCTCCCTTCGGCCTTGGACTCTGCAGACTGTCTTCTGCAGTTGCTCCTCCTTAGTTGGTACGCACACTGGTCCTCACCTCTGTAATTGGCTTCCGTGGCTGACCGGGAGTCCAGCTCAGAATGTGCCGTCTCTCAGCAGATGTGTGAGTGGGTCTGGTGACACAAGCTAGATACACTTTGTCTTGTGTAGGTTTCTATTTGGTCATCTGTTGATGGCCTTGGCTTTAGTTTAGTTTTTTTTTTCTTTAATCTTAATGCATTGTTAGAAACACCCCATTCTAGACCCTGCCTAACTGAAAGCAGTAATCAAATCAGAAGTTCTCATTCCAGTATAACTTCTGACAGTTGGCGCAGGTATTTCACTTCTATTTCGGGCTGTTCTATCCTGTGACGGGTAAGAGCAGTAGAGAGCACTGACCCCGTGGGTGGAACGTCCTGCGGTGTTTCTGTGCCCATCTGCCCTTCCACGCCTCATTTGAGTCCTGGGTTCTTCGTAATGTGCCTTCCAGATGCTCCTATCCGTAGAGCATCCTCTGGACTGTGGGGCGCTTGGGACCCAGGGGCATGCTGCCTTGTAGCGAAGGCGACCTCCAATCTCTCTGGGTAGCTGAGGAGAGAGCTGGCGCAGTTCCCCCCTCACAGGCTCTGGGAAGATGGAGATGCTGCCGCCGGCCCCACGGCCTCCATTGATCGATTACCTTGCACTTCCGTTGAAAGCACTCTCCGGTTTGGTTCATTGATTATTTAGTGGCAGACATCACAAGGCTGATGGATGAGCGTGCGCCTGGGTTTGTTTCCTCGCATTGCATCGTCTTTCTGAGAGCGGGCGAGTGCGGAAATGCGTGAGGTGAGCGCCGGTGAAGCATCCCTGTGGGTCCAGTTTCTGTTACTCCGGGAAGCTGGGTAACTTACAAAGAGCTTGTTTAGCTCCCAGTCCTGGCGTTTCAAGGGTGTGGTGCCCAGCATTAGCTTGGTTCTGGTGACGGCCCCTTGGTGTGACAGTGTGGGGACCTCGTGTGATTGGGAGAGCCGGTGTGGCAAGACAAGAAACGAGGGTGTGGGGAGAGCCCCTGCTTTTTTTACAACAACCCCTGTGAGGTAACCAACTGGGTGTCAGTTCCTTCCTCTGGCAGTGCCCTCGATGCCTCCCACTGGACCCCACCCTTTAAAGCCCCTGTCACTGCTGAAAGTCATCAGGCTCACACCCAACTGCCAGCACATGAATCCTTGGGGGACAAACTCAACCAGTGTGACAGCCCAGGCTTTGCCACCCCTTATCTGGAAACCCAGCACTCAAAATGCTCCAAAATGGAACCACTGAGTACCTAAGTGACACAAGTGGAAAATCCCACACCTGACTCTTGTGAAGTTTTGCTTTCTGCACAGTATTACAATTACTAAGTGACCTTAAGCTGTATGTATGCACGTGAGTATATAGAAACACACGAGTTTTACATTTAGACTTGGTCCCCATTCCCAAGACATCTCATTATAGGTAAACATTGCCCCCCCACCAAAAAAATCTGAAATTCTTCTGGTCCTGGATATTTTGAATAAGAGACATTCAGCCTGTATTTGGAAATGAGATTTTTTTTAAAAATGTCACATACAAGAGTAGAAGCTGTGAATGAGGTAAGCTTTTTGCTTACTAAATTGCAGCCACTGTGCTCAGTTGCTTACATCCTCCACGGGTCTACAGGTCATTGTGCATGGAACTGGGAAGTGAGTGAGTGGGAAGAAGAAGTAGGGACTAGGGCGTAGGGCTGTGAAATCCCTCAGCCGTGAAATGGTGGTAAGCAGTTATGGAGGGCTTCCTGTGGTGTGGGCTTCCCTGCTTAATACCAGAATTGGGTGTTAAATGGGATGTGAAATGGAAGGGAGGGAGGGATGGAGGAAGGAAAGGAAAAAGGAAATGGAAGGAAAGAAAAGGATGGGAACAGAAGTGGAGGGGAGGAGGAGAGGAGCAGAGGTGATGGAGAGGGAAAGAGAAAGGGGCCAACCCCCGTTTCCAGGGCAGCACATTTCAATCTTAATTTAGACATCAGATGAAACGATTGTTTTGTTATCTGTGGATATTTGTAAATGTCTTATAGCTGGTATTGATTGTGAAGACTCTTAATCAGTCGGTAGGGCCAAGCTGTTTGTTTGCTTTTGATCCCTGTCTATCCATTAAGGAATAGTCCACTTCAAGAGGAGTGTTGTTAGCCATTCTCTTTTTCTGCCCTGGTCCATTTCAAACACGTTGACAGTTCATCACAGGCAGAATTCCTGGACTTCTTTCTTTAAAAGTTGCATTAAAAGGCACGTGCCTCAGGAACCCTTCAAGGGGAGACAGTCAAAGGAACCTGAAGTCTGCGTTTGCACGTTCCCCTCCCCCATCATTAGTGTTGTGTTTTCTGATTCTCTAATTTCTTCTAACCCATGCAAAGGCAAATACAGACTTTCCTAGTACACACTAATCCTTCAGTCCCGTCTGTCATCTGTTTCTTCCCACAGATTGAGGCCAGGCATTCTGCTGGGTGTCTTCAACAATTCCTGCGATGCCCGAGAAGCCACATACCTCTCTAAAATGCATTTCCTTGTTCTGCGCTTTTCAGCCTAAAGTCACCAGAAATTTGCATTATGGATCCAGAGTCCATAATGTAGAATAGCAATCGACTAACTAGACTCAGCCTCATTGTGTAGACACTAGAGACAAAAGAGAGTTGCCTCCCTGGAATTTGGATTTAGCAGTCGTACAGTGGTCTGTGGAATGATTATAAATACGTCTTAAGGGGAGAGGAGTTCCCAAGTGGAGGAGAACTCTTTGTCCAAAATAGCGAAAAGAGAAGATACCTCTTGTCCCCTTCCTTTATGTTGAAGTGGTACTGTTGTTACTGTGTGTGTGTGGTACTGTTGTTACTCTGTGTGTGTGTGTGTGTGTGTGTGTGTGTGTGTGTGTGTGTGAGTGATATAAATAATCAAGGTTATCAGGTTTTTTCATCTTTTTTATTGATGATGTAGATTCATGAGTATCATTTTGCCAGACTTATACATGCACATAAATACTTTCTCGCATCTCCTCATCAACCCCTTCCTAGACCTTTTCCTTCTCCCTAGTTTTACTTCAGGGTAAAGGCTTCAGTATGTATATTTTGCTCCTACTCATGTCCCCGTGACCTGCGCTTTCTCCCTGTCCCCTTTCTTCCCTTTCTCTTGTCCAATAATAGTCTCTCCTGGTTGTCTTTTGTAGATTACACAGATTAGGAAGAGTGCATGGTATTTGTCTAATCCTGGCTTATTTCTCTCTTTCTCTCTCTCTGTGTGTGTGTGTGTGTGTGTGTGTGTGTGTGTGTGTGTGTTCAGTGCTAGGCACTTTTGAGACAAGCTTTCACCAAATCACTACATCTCCCCAGGGTGGATTTGAATGTGCAGTTCTCCTGCCTCAGCCTCCCAAGTGCTAGGATTACAGGCATGTGCCTCCCTACCCACAATATTACTGTTTTCTATTGAATTAGCTTCCCTAGTTTCTGAGGTGTTGGCCTTATGCCCCAGGGAGGGACTATACTGTGGGGACCAGGCACTGGTCTATAAGTGAGGGAACTGGGTTCGTCTTGTAGGCCTTGGGCTCACCGGCTCTGTGGCCTTGAATAAGAGACCTGTGATCTCTGAGCCTCTGCTGGATTTAGTCTCCCTTTGAAAGTACTGCGTAGCTCCCTTGGGAATCTCACACGCCGTGCAATTATGAGAACAGAGGGGTGGCGTTGAAGCCTCTCTGTGGACCGACAGTCCAAGGTCTGCAGTGGGAGCCTGTGATCCTTGACACTGTCTCAACTGGGTGTAGTCCCCGCTCCACACACCCTCCTG